TAGAGCAGATGCTGCTTCTGTCACTCTGGAATGGGCTTTGTGGAGAGAGACATCCTCTTTTTTTCTTTGTCTCTGCTGGTGACTCTCCTTGTGTCAGTGCACTCCAGCCATGGTTATTGTGGTGGCTGTGGTGGACCACCCACACAGAAGTGATGCTTTGGGCATGCTCCTTGGTGCTGGCATTGTGCCTGCTTGTGGGGTATGTTTGGTCCCCAGCTCCAAGCCTCAGGACCCCAAGCGGCCCTGAGGTGCTGGCGCAGTGTGCCTGAATGTAGGGGGTCCAAGCCCCTTCTCCATGCCTTGGGTCCCTGGGCGGGCCCTGAGGTGCTGGTGTGGTGTACCTGGTTGTGGGAGGGGGTTCCAGTCCCCTTCCCCTTGCCTTGGGTCACCATTGTTTTAATTTGTTAATTGTAAAATTGCTAAAATAGGGGTGCCATGGTAAGGAGAACATATAGCCCTCTGTTTCTTAAAAGCGATAACTATATATAACTATAAGTTAATACTAGATTTTTTTGTGTTCGTGAAGGGGATTATAAACAGCCATAATTAACATATAGCACTGTTATGGTGTGGTTAATTTTTTTAACTGACAGGTCTGACTTTAATGTGTAATTTCAATTAAAAATGAATATTGGTTGGCTTGTACTTAAAATAGAAATTAAGAACCATAGTGATTGAGTTTTTATATAAGACATAATGATAGTTGATTTTTCTCTTTCAGAAACAGACTCTCTCGGAGATAAACACTTATGAGAAAGCAAACAGCGAAGGCTAGATGTAGAAGAGAAAGTACATCATCTTTTATTTTGTTTATTGGAACCTTTTCTTTAATGACCTTGTATGCCTCCATTTTTGCTTGCCTACCATTCTTCTATTAGGTTGACTTTTTTTTTTTTATTCTTTAATGACCTTGTATGCCTCCATTTTTGCTTGCCTACCATTCTTCTATTAGGTTGACTGTTTTTTTTTTTTTTCCCCTCTATGTTCTTCCCACCACATAAGTAAGTCTTGCATAAAAGATTCACACCAAATTCATGGGAATACCAGGAAGGGATACCTAGGGACTTTCTGCTGTATACACAACTTTTTATTACTTACAGGTACTGGAGAAAATATGGCTTCCTGTTAATACTGGATAAAGGTAGTTGGGGGATATACAAGTTTTATTATTTTCTGTATATTTGGAATATTTTCCAATAAAGTGTTCTCTACATTTCCTGTCATCATCTGCCTCTTCCACATAATAAGTGTTCTTTGTTTTCTTGCTCCTTCGTTATCTGCTCTTCTTTTCCTGTCCACGCTGAGGTCATTGGCTTCTTTCTCTCCATCCTTCCTTGGATCACTTTTCTTTTGTCCCTTGGGTACAGAGTCTGTCCTTGAGCTCTGGACCACTCCAACTGGGGAAGGAATTTTCTCTTTCTGATCCTGCCATCCATACCCTTCCAAATCTGTAGCCAGTTTAATTTTTATTATAGACAGAAGTTACTGTTTTCTGAAGTACAAATATAGTTATCAATTCAAGTTAAAAAACAGATTATATATTTTTCTTGAAGCACACAAAGTAATCTTAAATTCTCCTGAACTCAACATATGCAGAATTATGGACCAGCTGACTTTTCTGCCAGCCTCCAAAGTCTCTATTTGGGAATTTTTCCATGATTTAAAAGCACATACTTAAAAGATTTTTTTTTCTTTCTTTTTTTTTTTTTTGCTTTTACTGGTAATGTGTGTCAGCTGATCTGTTAGATTAAATGGAATTTTTCTTTGTGTGTGAAAAGTTGTTCAGACATTGATGGGCTTCTTCTATTAGACAAAAGTTTATGCTGCTTTGTGCAATAAAATCCTTCACCATCAACTAGCCTTGCCTTGTGTTATTGCCAGCGTTGTGCCAATGTCCGTTTCTTACTTGCACACACCAGGAGCTCTCAATGCTTGGTTTGTCTGTACCTTCTGCTCCAGGCTCACCCCAGTGGAAATGCAAACGCAGACTGTGGAATCACAAAATTGGTCTTTTTATTATGGAAAATTAAGGAAGCAAGTCAACACAAAAAATCATAAGTTAAAATTCATCTAATTCCAGCATTTCATCATATGGTACTGGAAATTTGAATAGAAACTGTTTAAATGGAGTTTAATATTATGTGGTGATTCAACTGTTTTCCTTGTTCCCAGAAAGAAACTAATATCATCCATAAAACTCATCTCACAAATAAAGATAGGGGTTAAATGTCTCCTGGATGAATTCGATATACTGGGCCACTAGGTCTTATTTCTGAGTGGGCTTAAGAAGTTTCTTATTCAGCAAATATTTATTTAGCTCTAACTATGGGCCTAACATTGTGGTAGGTGCTGGATTTATTGTTTAGTAGGACCATGCATGGCCCTATCAT